CATGTGGGTCAGAGTGCAAACAGTGTGCTCGGAATGTTTGCATTTTTCCAAGAGATTTGTACGATGACATGAATAAAAGCAGGGCGTCATGATTAACGCTGGATTAAATGTCATGAAAACAAATGTGGTCCTCAAGCCTTTTAGCCATTCCAGGAGCATTTGTTGTTATTATGCAACACAGGGATGCACAACAGCATTCAGCTAGGGCCCATTTACTACACAGCACACACAGACAAAACAAAAACAAAACAGGAGAACGTTTGCATATTACAAAATGTAAACAGCAGCAACAGAATACTGTTTTCTGGGCAGATTAAATGATATGACATCTTCACATTAACAATTCAACACAAAGAAAAACATTGTCCGTCAACTGTTTGAGCACCAAGCATCATGATGAAAATGTCTCAGAATCCCAAGGCCGTTTATAATAAATAGTTTGAGACATTGAAAGGTTGTGAAAACTGTAATATGTCATCTCTGGTGCGGGAGCGTAGAGTAGCGGCTGAGTTCTGAATGTATTGTAGTTTGTTGATGATTTGGTGGATGAGCCATATAAGATGCTATTGCAGTAGTCCAGTCAAGAGGTGATGGAGGCTTGGATGAATGTTTCGGCAGCTGGAGAAGGGATGGAGGGGGGAGACGGGAAATGTTTTTGAGATGTGATTAAACATTGTGTTCATAGAAGAGGGTTTGACCGAAGATGATGCCAAGGTTACATATATGTGAAAGAACAGTGGTGCCATCAATGCACAGGGAGAAGTTATGGTGGGGTTTGTTTAGTGATTGTGGTGTGATTGTAAGGATTTCAGATTTGTTGCTGTTGAATTTGAGGAAGTTGGCTTGCATCCATGTGTTTATAGAGACAGTTGGTGATGGTCGAGTGGGTGGTGGGGGGGATGGATTTGGTGGAGATGTAGAGCTGGGTGTCGTCAGCGTAGAAGTAGAAGTGGAGAACATGGTGGCCTACGATGTCGCCAAGGGGGAGCAGGTAGAGGATGAAGCGGAGGGGGCCGAGAAGTGAACCTTGGGGGACACCTTGATTGACTGGGGCTTTGTCGGACTTGGATTTGTTGATTTGTTGATGCTTGCTTTTATCCTCTTGTAGAACTATTTGATCACTTCCTTAGTTGCTAACTTTCCTCTTACTTTTTGCTCTGCACATCAAGACTGAAAAGGCTTTCCGCTATGATGTGATTGGGTATAAACCATTTTTTTGTACAAAATGAAGACATTGAACATGGAAGAAAAACCCATCCAGTAGATGGTGATCTGCATAAGCTGGGTCCATGCCACCCACTAGCTGTCACACCCGCTCATTGGGAAACAAATATGAGTCAACTCATGCTAGTGTCTTTTAACGACAGCGTCCTCCTGGAGGATTTCCTTTGGAAAACATGTTGACGAGGCGCGAGAGAGCGTCCGCTGATACGGCGGCACGTGGACCGGGCAGGCTGGAGTCTTCCACTCCACCGCCAGTGTGGTAAACAGCAGCAGGAGTGTTTTTGAACAGGGGGCGGTACATGGGCTCCGCATGCTGTCCAAACATGTGGAGTCTGAATGCCACAGAGTGAGATATACATAACCGCAGAGACTTTCCATTGACACACACAGGCACGTATTAACATTATATAATTCCGAATAATAAGAGAAAATCTGAAATATTTGTTCAAAAATGAGTATCAGTTAATGCTAATTAATCATTAGATCTCCCTATATAAACCACCAGACATAAGCAGGAGAGAAGAGTGGTCCGTGAGGCTCTCGAGCTGACATCTCGACCCAGAATTTTTCACTTGTTTTGCAGCAACAAGTCAAAAAGGACAGATCAAAATGAAAAAACGCCCAGTATTAAGGCACCAAGCCAAGCATCCAGATGTCTCGCCTTCAGGCAGCTTTCCGTCTGGGAAGGCATGCAGAAGTGATGGCTGGTAAAAGCCAAAAAGGTTCAGAGAGAATGCATCAGGGCTGATTGGCCTGTTGACCTCTGTATAGCTTAAAGTGCTGATGCTCCCAGAAAAGGAGGTTAAAGAAAGTGCAGGTTGGTAACTGATCAAGATTGGCCATCGCAACAGCAGCGTATGTTCATGCTGTGGGCGGTAGTGTTAATCACCAATGGCATTTGACAGAACACATTAATCAACACCTGAAAAGTTACATGTCTTGCTGGATCTGCTGGACCAAATAAAACCAAACTTCCACAAGGAGGAGAAACCAGAAGCAAGCAACGCTAACCCATCTAAGACAGTGTAAACAGAAGTACTATGAGTCCCTTAAATGACAACCGTTCCTTAAGCTGTATCTCAGGTTTCAAAGAATGGTATCGCAAAACTATGTTGTCACGAGTATTTTGATTAAGTATGGTGCTCAAAAAAATATATGTCAGTATGTTTTGTTTCCATGTGGGCTCACCGGTGCTGTGTGCCCCTGTCCTCTCTCTTGTCTGTGGAGAGTCAGCACTGGATCCTGTAAGCGGGTCACGGCTCCGCCCGGCTGCTGCGCAGTGGAGCCGGCGAGCCTCGGCTGAAAGACCTCCTCAGGCTGATCCAGGGAGAAATAATGGGGCCAGCGACTCTCAATCCCCTGGAGAGCTGCGGCAGGGAGGGAGGCCCGGTGGAGCGCGGGGTCGGCAAAAGAGCAGCTAGAAGACCCTAATTTACAGTGAATACCACACACGCAGCTTGAATGTGCACTTGGTGCACTGGGTCCACGGGGCGCATGGTCCGGAGTTGCTATTTGAAGTTCTGTTGGGCCTCTCTTTGCAGAACAAGGCGCCCACACATCAGGGGTACGCAGGGTGGATTTCCAGTGCCGCCTTCATGTTGCATGACTTAGATTTAAAAGTATCCGATTTTTTGAGTTTTTTTTCATGTTTTCCCCTTTAACAAACGCACTTGATTTCACTGGTAATTGGGGGCTCGAGACTTCGTCAGTGAGTCGCAGAAGATGGAGCCTCCAGATGGTGTGATGATGATGTGGATTTCCATTCTGAATGAATTCCTCGTTCGTTTGTTTCCGTGTGCATGGATGTGATGGTGAATGGGATCCTAAATTTGGGAATAGAGATCAGATAGAAACACACACACACACACACACAAAATAACGTCAGAGCAGCATCCCGTAAACTGTATTTTAGGAACCTTCAAAGCCGTGTTGCGCAGGGTTGACAATTTCGCTTCCCTGTCACACTTGATTAACTAAGCTGTTTTCTATGTTGAGGAGGCAACAAGCAGTGACTAAAAAAAAGATGTTGGTCAAAAAAATGTTGGGGTTTTCTCCTGAGGTTTGCCTTCAGAGCACAAATGTGCCCATACAGACTTCATTTCTTGCGACGGACACAGTGGCGAGAAGGGTGAGGAACACTGTCCCTCCTGGTGGCTTGGTTGGGTTACGTAAGGCTGGTTTCTGCCTGGCAGCAGAGAAGTGCCCCTCTGACAGTGTCATGTTGCTAATTAATACACACCACCAGAAGTGTGAGTTTATATGTGTGTGTGTGTGTGTGTGTGTGTGTGTGTGTGTAATAATCATAATCTAGAGGGTTCTGCGTTTTAAAAGGGACAGACAGGCTGACTAAACATGTCCTCGTGTTAGTCAGTTCCTAATGTCCCGTTTCCCCTGTCGGATTGCTTATCTCCTGACTGGGGACCAACTCACCACGCTTTTGGGTTTCAAACCTGTTTTAACTGAGCCTTCACAAAGACTAAAGCCGTGCCAGCAGCACTGTGGGGCTGCACGTTAGGAAATAGCTTAGCAAGGACTGGAATCGGGGTAATAACTCTATATGTAATAACAATGGTGGTTTGTGGTTTTAACGGGAAACAGGGTTTAGAAATTCTTTAAAAAGTGGGAATTTCTATTTTTGTTCAGCTATTTTAAGCTCGGCTAATCCCCCTCTAGCTTTAGCTCTGTATGTAACGCACAGAGATTATTGTATTGTTAGGCTTATTAGGCACTTTGCAGGTAAACTGTTTTTGAAAAACAAATTCCATTTGTCATTGGAAGAAGCAGTCTCAAAACCTTGGGAAGAGAAATCATAATTCAAATTTGAAAATGGAAATGTGTAAAAACATAACTGCACAGCAAAGGCCCACAAGGTCCCTGTAACAGCTGCTGTGAGCGTGTGGGAGAAAAGAGACGGTGGAATGGGTTGTTTCACTTCGTGCTTCCAACCTGCTGAACCTCCAGACTCCAACTACAAAGTCCTTCCTGGGGACGCGTGGCTTGGAAGGAAGTCATTGGCTCAGTATGAGCTTCCCGCCTCGGGCCCCCGTATGAAAAAAAAAAAAAAAAACACTTACGGAAAGGGAAAAGCATGGTCCGGAAAGTTCAACACCTCATTCTCCCACAGATCGGGGGCACAGTAGGATATCAGCCTCTCTTCAGGAAGCCATTACACTTTGTGCCAAAGTTGTGCTCACATTCCGGTGAGGGAGGGAGAAGAGGAGGGGCAGGATGGGATTTGTAGTCGTGTGAGGCTCATCATTTGGGGTCGTGGGTGCGCTGGGAACCGCAAGGTTGGTGGTTCGAGTCTCAGCTGCCCCATGTCTCAAGTCGAAGTGTCCCTGAGCAAGACACCTAACCCCTAATTGCTCCCCGGGAAAACATGTTTCTTAACAGCACAGATATTTTCAATACAATTATGTGACATCTGTAAAACAAAACATTGTTCTTGCTACATGTTAAAGGTTTATGGAATACTAAGCCTCGCTTGGTCTGGTATGACCAGCAGCTTAGCTAATGCTAATGAATTACTAAATGTTATGCATACTACATAATTATTTTAGAGACATTTCAGAATAATATCTAAGTATAAAATGTTTGTAAGACAAAAATAAATATTTCTATTTTACTGTACTGCCAGAAATTGGTATTTCTTATATGATCATTTTATTTGTATTTTTTTTAAATAATGTCATATCAGTGTATTTAAAAAGGGCCTAGATATTAGACACCAAAACTAATAAATATTATTTGTGGGAATAAAGAAGGAAGCCAAGCTGTAGCTCTTTAAATAAATTCATTTATTTATTTAGGTTGCTATCCATAATCAATACAGACAAAAGCAATACTTGACTATCAGGATTTATAAATCATAATAATCATCTTTTGTGAGCATCACAATAAACAGTATATTGAATTATGTACAATGGAAGACAACAAAGCTTTCAGATTGAGTAGACCCAAGATCAGTCAGTCTGTCCGCGGACACAGAAATGGGTAAAGCGCTTTGAGACGTGTTGAAGAAAGCAAGAAAAACAAAACACTTGGCAGAAAGAGAAATGTACATGGAGCAAAACAGCGTCTGCTTGCCACAAGAAGAAAACAAATCACCAATGCAATGTTACATTTGGTTCCACAGTTGTAAACTAGATTGTATTCATGTCACTATTGCATATGCCATTAGGTAAAGTGAGTCAACAAGGCAAAGAGATCTGTATAATAAAATAGACAGACTATTTTTTCATAGTCAAACTGCAAGGGAGAAAAGCATACAATATACTGTACAACCCCAAAGCAAAAATCCCATCCCCCTTTTAAAAATCTGTAGCCAAAGTCTTTACACGGGAACCTCATTGCAACATAGCTCAAATCTAATTGAATATATTGTTTTAAGTTAAACTCTTTCTATGTACACAATATACACGTTCAAGACTTTGTAGATAAATAGATACCACATTTTAGTATGTTACAGCTGCAATATTATTAAACTCTGTGAAAACCGTGACTCACGATATGTTTGTGCGGTGCTCCTACCAGCTCAGCGATACATTCAGACGTGGTTAAACGGTTTACAATCCACTATACACCAAAGGGGGTCGTGAGCCTGCTGGAGTCGGTCCAGTGGGCGACTCATCGACCAAACAGTCAGGACATTACAGGGGGGTTTCAGATTATGTCAACTCGCCATCTGTTGGCCAATATGGAGGTTCAAAGATTCAGTTACAGTTTTTGAGTCAGTGCAACTTTTGAAAGAAATAAGATTTTCTTCTTTTAGCTATGGAAAAGTTAAAATTTAAAAGCAATTAGAAACAAGATTGCTTATGGTAGCATAGCACACGTTAGCTAATGATAGCAATCCGTTCCGCTTTTGTCACTGGCCGTAGTGGCGGCTGTTCAGAAAATGTTACAAAAGCTAAGAGAAGAGAACATTTTTCAAACTAAACTATAAGCAAACTATGAGCAATACAACCGTTGTGTTAAATTCATTACAGTCAACAGTTTTGTAGCTAATGTAAATGTCACATTTAGGTTGCTAATGTTAGCCCAATAGCCAGCCTGTACCGAATATTAGCCAATGTCAGCCAGGAAACTACCGTTAGCTACCCACTGGCTGACGTAAGCTAACGGAAGTTCCTGGCTGACATTGGCTAATATTGTCAGCTGATGTCGGCCAGCAAGAGATAGTGGCAAATGTTAGCATGCATTAGATGCACTGATTTGATGGCCCTTTTCTATGTGTGCTAATTTTACGATTTGTTTTCTGCGACGGTCCCCTCACCTCCGCCCTCACTGTTTGACCAGAAACCGTCTCCGCTGTGCCCCCTCCATTACCACCTCAACTGTACAGTCCAATAATATCACAGCAGAGCGGCCTGCGTCGAGCGCGACGGCAGGCCGTATAGGTTTGAAGGTAGGAGTGTGAGAGGTTTTAGGGGCTCAAGTGACTGAGGAACTGTGGGATTCAGTGCATTCAGATGCCTAATATTGTTGGGTCTGAGCTGAGTTATCAAGACATGCATAACTCATTAACAACATTTAGAAATATAATTCTGTAAGTCCAGCGCATTGATTGGACATGAAATAAACTAAGAATAAATAATTACTGATTTATTAAGAAAATATTTTAATATCAATACAATAAATCTCTTACTATATATATCGGAAATAATATCTTTACTGGTAAGCTTTTGAAGTTCTACAGAATAACAATATAGAGATGGAGGCCCAAACAGACATATCGTAATAGAATAGTTCTCTTATTTCATAAAAAACACAAGGACAGTATAGACATTAAGGCATTGGGTAGGTCCTATCAAACATTTGTCTTCCAAAAATAAATAACATTAATCTAAATATAGTTATATACTCCTTGTACCTTGGTATCTTCACTCCCTGGGCAATTTGTATGGTGAGTTTCTTTGTTCACTGTTGTACCGTTTGGTTGTACTACTGTCTCAGAAACACACTCGCATTCACACAGGCAGTTGTAAAATCACCCTCAGGTAAATAAATAGTATATGGGTACCGTGGAGCTTTGTTACTATCTAAATATATTTGCTTCTGTTGCGCCTAAATGTGGGTCACAGGTGAGATGGCCTCTGAAAGCGACTAGACTTACCAAACATACACCCACTCTCTCCCTCGCACCCACCTGTCCAGCCTTCAGCAAAATGACATGCATAGACGGTGACCTGCTTGTTTCCTAAAAGAGTCTGTGTGATCGTTGCCGGGGGTCCAGACAGTCTTTTAGGGGCGCAGAGCCCAGTTGGAGGGCAAAGTGGATTCTTGTTTGTTGCTGAGCAGCAAGTCGGTGAAGTCGCCAATTCAACGGATCGAGGAATTTTTCAATCTGAAAGAGACAACCAGAGGAAAACAAAAGAGTTAGTGGGAACGTCCTGTCAACACACTTTGGTGTAGAATGAGCGTTTGTCACCATTTGCATCCAACTGTCAGGGAAATATTACGATTTTGGACAATAAATACAATTCTTAACATCGGATTTAAAAAAAAGCAAAAATATTAAACTGCATAAAAATGTTTTTATTAAATAATAATGCAAATAATGTATAAAATGCTTGCATATGAGAGCTCCCCTCTACCAAAAATTGATAAAAAATGAAAAAAAGAAAACCGGTTTATTTTATTACAAACAATACCAATGCCAACAACGCAGGCCTTTCAGAGCCTGCAGACCAGAGAGGTCTGAGGGAACAGTCTCATACTGTACAGAGCCAACGCATTCAGACTGCGCTGCAGTGTCTGTGCCACAACAAGGGACGCTGGGAAAAGCAGCTCCAACGACAGGAACAGCGAGTGCCCCACAACGGTGTTGATCAGCAGGGATTAAAGATGTTTTAACCTGATTGTTTTATGTGCCTTAGTTGTATTTATTGATGATATTTCGTACACATTTTGGTTTGTTGCAGCCACGATTCGGATCGGGACTGGTCAACCAAACCTGTGGTTTGTCCTTTAACGCACCAGCTGTTTTGAGGAAGCTGCTTGAAGGACGGTTCATGGGGGCGGGGGGGTTGGTGGTGGAAGTGAGAGGCTGGCGGGTAGCAGCCGTTATTACATAAGGTGGATAAAAAGAATGGGGGGGGAGGGGGGTTCTCTTGTCGCGCTGTTTTGTTGCTATGGACACCGGCTGAGCGGAAGAGAACCAGCTACCATTACAGTAGCTGATACATCTCTGATGTCATACACAGACAAACTAACCATGCATTTGTATGGACAACTGTGATGGATGGTGTGGCCACCGTTGACATTGGTGTGTGTGTGTAAGGGGGGGGAGGGGCCTTGCAAGCAGAAAAGGAAGGATTTACTTAAAGTCAGAGTGGAGGTCTGAAGGAGGGGAGAAACTATATTCTTAAACAATGATAAAACAGAGAAGGCAGCTTGGTAGTTTTGGACACTGGATGTTAAGTCAATAAATCTGGGGATAAATCCTTGTGTCTTACATCATTTACTATCATAGCACATATTTGTCCCTGTCGTGCCATTTGTCAATCTAGAGCGTTTTGTTGGCACGCCGATATTTCTCTATAGAGATGTCTCTAAAAGATAATTGGGACTAGTGTTGATCTGCTAAAGGGTGACAAAAATGTCCACCCGGCAGCTGATAAACGGAATAGCCCTCATTGATCTACCTCTGGCCGTCTAATCCCGCCCACTGAGGCTGTAATCTCATCTGGAGCTGTGGCTGTCTAAATGTAGGCAATGCTGGCCATGCAGTCATCTAGCAGCTAGCGCTTCTGTCTGGAACATCCCGGCCTACTTTAGCCCCCCCGTGCCATCACACTACACACACACACACACACACAGCCTGGAAACTCTGACACAGGAGCCTGCGGTGTTACGTGTGCATGTTTGCTTTCCATATATCAAGTAACACAGCATTTCTGGATTTCCTGGCTCGGCTTTTCGCACCGTTTTGTTATGTTTGCAGGGTCTCTGCTTTAACGACGGTTCAACGCGGACGTAAATAACCGATTCAACGGCTAATGTGTGAGTGCGAGTGAGTGTTTGAGTTGATGTGCAGGGAATGCAGCTTTAGGCCGAAGACTAAAACCAAAACGTTTTACGAGTATCGTCAGAAAACAGTGTGAAGTGTGGAAAATCTAAACGAGCCGCACGGGCGCCACAAACTCACAAACCTTTTCCAAAAGATTGCTATGTGACAATATAATTATGTTAACGTATTAGTGATCCTATTTAGTCTTTAAAAAACAAAATCCAAAGTAAAAATAAAATCCCTTAAAAAAAAAAAAAAGATCACATTGCTATGAGGCCGCATCTACTTTGCATGCTCACAGCGAGTTAGGGATGCATGGCTGGCACGCGAGACCCCTTTCGCTCCCGTTAACATTGCAACGCACACACAGGATGTGAAAGTAGCATTGGTACACATGCAACACGCTCTGGGTGCATGTGGATCCACCACCGCCACCCCTGATGACATCACCCGCTCTACTACCGAGTGAATGATGTGTCCTGGAAGCGGGATTTGAGCCAATGGATACAAATACTTCCAATCTGGCCGTTGAATTTTACACAGACACACTCAATGGTTCCTTTGGGCAGTAAAACAGTCGGGGGGGCGCGCTTCACCACATAAAAAGGTAATTATTGGACAATGAGGCGAAAACGTAGATGGCCGACTTGGCTAATCTGGGTCTGGTACAGAAGCTTCTGCAATATGAGGACCCAGGAGAGCAGAGATGAGCGTGGCCTCTCGGGTCACATGGGCTGGTAAACAAACACTTTGAACCCCCCTCTCCCTGCGTGCTATGCTTTAGGACATGGAACCGGGGCTCTAGGTGGAGGATCGAAACGAACGTAATCCAGCTGTCACAACGGGCAAAAGTCGGGAAAGGGAGGGGGGGGGGTCCTGGCAACTACATAAAAACCAAAAGCGTCCGGCAGCTAAAAGAAAACCCAGGCGGTGCACTTTGACCTGCATCACCTCGCTTCGCATCACAACGCTGGGACCAAGTACGGCAAACAAGCCATCGCTTGTCCAACGCTCCCAGAATGCACTTTGGTCATCCCTCTCTCTTACTTCTGCCAAGTGAACTGCCTAATGAGGCAGAAGTGCAGCGGCGTGCACGTGCCTTCCCCAGTTATGCACGCATTCCTCGACTTCCCTCCCACAAACGAGAAGGCACTGGAAAATATCTCTCCCTCCCACTCTTAAAAGAAATAAAAATAAAAAAACATTCCCAGGAGAAAAACACACCCCTGCATGCGTACGTGCGAGAGTCCACATGCATGTCCCTCCCCCTCCATCTCCTGATCGTGACAACTTGTTTTCTTTTTCTTCTGTACCAAAATAAAAGTCCACATAACTGCTCTCTCTCCGTAAGGTGGTGGAGTTGTTGTTGTCGTCCCGCTCTCTGCAAGGATACAACACACGTCCACTTGTGCAGCCCCCCTCCCCTCTACAAAATATGAAAGCTCACTGTGCCCAAAGCTTTGGGGAGGTGGTGGGGGGTCTTCAATGTTAATACTGTGTGCGGTTGTCCTGGTTTACAACGTCAGCTGTATACATTGTATGGTGGAATGGTGGGAATAAGAGGTCTGCAGAGGTCGCGTTGATGTGCAACACATCCGAAAGCCCACCCGACCGAAAAACCGCAGTGGAGGCTCAGCCTTCACACCACTTGCGACCTTTTAGTAGCTTTTCTTTAAACAATCTCCGTTGTGTCATCATTTTTTCCCCACCGCAAATACAGTTCATTCATAACGAAGCGTTTAGTTGTTGTTTTTAGTATCTGCGGCCCACAGTGACGCGTCCTGCTCCCCGTGCTGCTTGTTTACTTCACAGCGCTCAGCCTGGTCACGTTTTTGCTGCGTTCAAATGCTGTGGGAAATCTTTGCTCAGACCAAATATGGACGGGAATAAAATAACAAAATAAAAAAAAACAGTAAAAAGGTTGAAGGATTGCAGCTAAATTCAGGACTCAGCCCTGTTCGTTTTGATACAGATACCCGTGGCACCATGTTGTTTAAGTGCAAATACCGCCCAAAAACTGATGCTAACCGAATATAAGTACTCGGAAGTTGGAGCTTAAGAGCAGCACCTGAAGGCAGCACCAGCATCAGGGCTTTAAGATCACAGACACGGTTTGAATTTCCGCAGGAAATACAAGTTTACCTTCATTCTTGCTGTTCTATTCAATATTCGGTGCAGGTCTTTCTCTTTTTATTTTCAGCTACAAAGCCAAACTGCTTTTAAAATGAAAAAAAAAGCTGTCGATTTTATCAGTATCACATTCGGCAGCGACCTGACTCACCTTTGGCAGTGGTTGCGGCCTCCTTGAACCCCAAACAGACATATGGTGAGCTGTGTAATCCATTGATACGCGCTTTGCAGCTGCTGCTGGGCTTGAAGCCGGCCAGTTCCCCGCATTTCTCCACATCCCTGCTGTCCAGCAGGTTCAAGGCAATGTAGTTGAGCCTGTTGGGGTAGCCAGCGGAGCTATGCCGGCTCATCGGGCTGCCGTACTCCTCATCGGAGCCCTCGCTGCTCCGGGACGAGATGTTCTCCACCGAGCTGTGCCTCTTCATGGCGTCGCCGCGGGCAAAGGAGGGGAAGACCGGCGTCACGGTGGCGGTGGATGAGAAGGTCTCGGAGCTGTGGCGCCGGCGTCCCTGCGGGTTGGCCCGAATCACCTTGGCGGAGCAGTCGGGGTCCACGGCGGAGGAAGAGGTGGCCCCGATCAGAAAGACCCCAATGCCCTCTGGGACTCCCTGGTCCTCCAGAGAGAGCCTGCTCTCCCTGCCGCTCTGGCAGCTGTGGAACAAAGTTCAAAATATGACATGGGTCAGAAAATACATTTCACTGTCATGCTTGCAAAAAAAAGTTTTTAAAAATCCATCTTGTTACCACCAATATACATTTAAGATCAAATAAAAGCGGAGGATAATGTTAAATATCTAGATTGACAATATCCGTGTTATTAATTAATTACCTCCCAGCACAGTTACACATACCTTGCGGTGTTCTGAGGAACGAGCTGCGCAGGGGAGCTGGTCATCCCAAATGTCATCTCAGTGTAGTCACTTTTTTCCTCATCACCACGGGCCTGAGAGCCTTGCTCGCCGGCCAGACGGTACACTCCGTCCTCCCCAGAGCACACGGGTAACTCCGGGAGCGTGCCCAGGCGTTCAGCGGGAGTCTTCTTGGGCGAGCGCGAGCCCAGCTGCAGGTTCATGTAGTCGGTCAGAGAGGCACTCCTGGGGCCCCCGACGGTGGAGCCCGCCGATGGCGACTGGCTCTCCGCGGAGACGACGGAGAATCGGGCAAACTCGATGTTGATGTACTCCCCGGGGCTCCGGGGCTCTCCGGGCAGCGGGTGCTCATTCATGCTGGGCAGGGTCCTCACGGTGTCCAGAGACAGCCTGTTGGGCCTACCGAGTCGCCCTCTGTAGTGCAAGTTCTCCGCACGACCATGTCGGACCGGAGAGGGCAGCGAGGGGCTCAGCGGGGAGCTCTGGGCCGCGCTGGGCTGCATCACTGAATAGTAGTCGGACTCCCCCGTCCTCTGCCTCAAGCTCTGCGGGCTCATCAGCACATACTGGCTGCTCTCCTCAATCTTGGAGGCCTGAAGTTTAGTAGGGGTCGCGAGGGAGGAGCCGGCCTGGTGGGCCGACCTCACCGGTTCCGCCGCCAGCGGGCCCACGTAGTAGTCGGGGGGCGTCTGCAGCGGCGGAGGGTTCCCAGGCGACATGTTCATGTATTCGCCTTGCCTGTCCGGGCTGTCAGCGGAGGACCTGAGTCGCACCACATTCTCATGTAGCCGCTGTCCTCCAGGGAGCTGCTGCAGTGGGGAGCTGGTCTTGAAGCCGCCGCCGGCAGCCGCCTGGGGGTGCACCCTCGGGTTCACGATCTGCTTTGGTGCAGAGACGCACATGGGGCTCATGGGCATGTAGTTGTCAGTCTTGCCCGACTCGGCCGACACACCGGGCGTCATCGGCATGTAGCCGTCATCGGCGAGGTTGCTGCTGGAGCTCCTGGACGAACCGATTTCGACGTCTCCGTAGTCCTCAGGGTAACACACTTTGGGCGAGGCGGAGTGAGAGTTCTGTCCTTGGGCCATCTGCATGAGCGTGTACTCGTCCAGGGAGGCCGACGACAGCGGCGCCACCACCCGTTGCTGACGCGGCGTGGTGAGGGAGTGCGTCCGCTTCCTGTACGCCGCGTGGTTCGCCGGACCTTCGCCGCCACCGGCCTCGGGACCGCCGTCGTTTGTCTCCTCCATGATCATGTAGCCGCAGGGGTCGCTGATGTCGCGGGACGGGGGAGTGCTGCACAGGGAGTCGGGGGTGTCGCTGCGGGTGAGGGGGATGAATCGCAGCTCGCCCGGGCTGGAGCTGTAGTCGTCGCACGTCATGAAGCCAGTGTCACTGAGGGAGCCGGAGATAGAAGCGCTGCAGCTGAAGGGCCGCCGGGCCTTATCGGGGGTGCAGATTCTGCCCCCCCGCCTGGGAGACATGCTGACAGGGCTTGAGGTGCCCGGCGGGGAGTTGGACACCGGCATGGAGCGGCTATGATGCAGACTGGAGGAGGAGTCGAGCATTCTGCAGGTGCGCCCACTGCTGAGGGTGTTGGACCTGATGAGGTGATTCCCGGAGCTCGGGCTGGTGTTCCCGGATATGGACATGGACACGGGCCGGGTCACGCTCCCGTCCCCCTCGCTGGCCGTTCTGATCCGACAGGACGTGAACTTTCTCCCCTGGGACGTCGCCGCCACGCTCTCCGTTCTGGATCGCCTCACCAGGCCCGTCTGGCTCGGGGGGAGGTTGTTGAGGTTGCGCCGGGTGGGCACGGAGATTGGGTTGGTGCTGGCGGACTGGCTCTTGCTCCGCGGCCGGAATTCGGACAGCTCCTTCATGGCCTTCATGGCCTCGAGGATGGTCTCGTGGATGTTCTGCGCCACCACCGAGTCCTCCGCCTGCATCCAGAACTCGCCGGGCCCGGTCACCGCCGAGCGGCCCACCTCGATGAAGAAGAAGCTGTCCGAGTGGCCGCATCGCCTGATGTTCATGAGCTGCAGGCTGACGGCGGCCGACTCGGAGTTCAGCTTGACGAAGCTGATGGTCCTGCTGGACAAACACAGCCTGTACACCCCGGTGAGGTTCTTGATCTGACCCAGGCCTTTGGACTTGAGGTTGACCTGCCACACCTCCTTATAGGCGGCCGTCGCGGGGGCCATAAGCCCGTAGCTGGCTTCCTCAAAGCCCACCAGGGAGGATGTGGACGCGGGGCTGTCATACACTTTCCCCTCGGCTATGAGGTCGGTCAGAACCGCGTACCAGCTCTCCTGCTCCTGCTCGCTGTCCGCGGCCACCGCGAAGTACTCGTCCTTGGTGTAGAGGGCGATGAGGTGCTTGTGTTTGGCGTCGGCGCGCTTGTTCACGCACAGGCACGAGTCCAAAGTGATGAGGCGCCTCGCCGCTGACTTGTTCCTCCATTTCTTCTCGCTCTCGTAGTACTCCAGGCACGCGGGGCCGCGCTCCGTGGGCTCGCGCAGCACGAAGAAGCGCCGGTGTCCGTGTTTCTGCTTCCTCAGGTATCCGCACCTCTTCACGCCGCTCGCCCCGTCGCGTAACAGGTGTCCTCCCGTCGCCGGAGGACTTGCCATTTCTTCTCCACGTCTTTTTTTTTTTCCGTCTCCAAGTTACAGACAGGCCTTTTTGTTTGGTTATTTTATGTTTTACTGGCAACCAAAAATACTTTAAAGAGCTCCGTTTAAAAAAAGTAAAAGAAAAGATAAATTCTAATTCATCGCAGACGTCAAAAGCTGCGCCCGCGGTCGCGCCACGGCAGAAGAAGCGTCGCAGCCGGAACCAGAGCGGAGACTGATCCGATCCTGGAGAAAAACAACATGTGACGCTGCTGCTCTAAAAACAGAATAAAACACGGAGTCATAGGGGGCGGGGCGTGCTGCAGGGGTCGTGCCTGTCCGTCACGTGGCAACTGACGCTCCGTATTGGCCGTTTAAATAATTCAAAGCGCGCAAACCCCGCCCACCTCTCCTCCCCCCTCCCCTTTGGCTTTTCCAACAGCCCCGTCGTTAAGAAACCGAAATCACAAGCCCGTTGAATAACAGCAATTCCTGCAAACTGTAGAAAGGAAGTGTGGGCAAAACACACGGCCAATACTCGGCTGATGTGCGCTGCACCAGGGGAATACTCATTAGTGTGTCACGGTGCAGTTGACGCACCGATTTTGGATTAATGCGGATTTGAGATGTGTAACATAATGCTGAGGCAGTAAAAGGTGTAAACAACACTTGTTATGTAAGGAGCGTTGTAGTCTGTAAATCTGTGGATATTCCTCTCCTGCTGCTCGAACTCAATGGCTCCTATTTCCCCACCATCTATTCCCCCATAGGCAGCAGTGTACACATCTGTTAATCATTATACACATTAACTGTTGTAGAAAAGGGTAAATAAAAAACAGCTGAAGAAAGGGTGGACATTTTTTGTGTTATTTCTGTGTTATTTTATATTCCTTTGGGCTCCTGCTGCACATTTATAAAAACAATTCAAACATGTTATTGTTGAATGAAAGACATGCCATGTCACAGAAGAGGGATGACCAAAGCCAGTGCGTCAGAGGCCCCTGTGTCATAACAAGCTGCAGAAATGCTGCCATCGTCTGGCTGCTCGCCCTCCTCCCCACGCATGATTCCATCAACACATTGTGGATCACAATTTAGAGAAAAAGCGGAAGGGCGCAAAAATGTGGTGCAGAATAACGAGAGGATTGGGCCGCGAGGGGCCTAGCACACGTCTGTTTGTCAGATCATTTTCGGCAATTAAGTAATTTGGAGATCATTGCTCACCCCCCCCCTTTTCCCCCCAATCACAAACCCCCAAAACACAATTTTTCTAATCTCTGCACCAAGCAGATTACACTCAGTGAGGTGTCCGTGTGAATTAGATGCTATGGATCTATGGTGGGTATCTGCCCTGTTGAACAAACACATAGATACTCCAGATTAAGGGTAATCCCCGCCTTCTCTAACCACTATTGTGTTCATTAATGATATTGTTGATGCCTGTGTGTGTGTGTGTGTGTGTGTGTGTGTGTGTGTGTGTGTGTGTGTGTGTGGGAGTGGGATCACTTGGCCGTTGCCTATTTTTCTGTTTTCACACCAGTGTTCACTTGTACAGGGATCAACAGGGCCCGTGGCATGTGTTTTCAGCATTAGCCGTCACTTATAATCTGAGATGTGGGCAGCAAAACATAAACACCTTTGCCAGGATTTGGTAACACGTAGCAGATATAAACAGCCTGAGGCAATAAAAAAACAAAGGAAACAAAGCGGTTATTGTTGACACCTAAGCGGCAGGGACGTACAATGCTTCGGCAACAACACCGAGGGGATGACGCTGAGCGCTGAATATTGTTTTGTTTTGCAGGCAGTGAATGCGATGTGGTGTGCTGATACGTTCCCACGGGGTTTTCCATTCAACACCAGTCTGGGTGTCTCCTGTTCCTCTGCAGGCCGAGCGTGGCCACCTTTTTATCACCTGTGCTGATTCTGATTAACAACTTTTCCACGTTGTGCTAACCTGGTGTGAACCGGCTTGGGAACATCTAGAGGTTACAACTGCATCCAACAGACTTCTTCAGCCCTTAGAGTTCTTTTTATTTTGGTCAAGAATGATAATAATCATTGTAGGAACCAAAACCAGTTGAAGCTGTCACGGTCACCAGTTATCATAGTACTAGAACCACAACCCATGGGGGAACCCAAAGGGTTTACGAAGTCTATTTATTTGCAAAAACCATTAAGAAGTCAGAAGGTAGCACATGTTCACCTAATTAATCACAGTGTAGTCAAATACTGGTGATGAAGATCAGACTTCCTCTTTTTTTCCTGTTGCCAGACCCTGGCACCTAGAGATCAGTGTACCAGAGGGTTATGCTCAAAAACAAAGACTTTCCATGTTCCCTGACCTGAGGCACAGAAGCCCTTGTCAAGCATCATAGCTTCCACACAATAGAGGGTTAACTTGTGACACCCATATGATTGGTGCTCACTTCAAAACGCTATCAAATCTATTGAATATTTTAATTGCCCATTGAGACGTTTTTATGTGTTTTTCTTGTTAACCCATTCGTAGTTTAGTCTTCAATTCCCAGAGGCACATATAACCTATTTTCTGTTTTTTTATGTCAAGTCTAGTTGGACGTGTAGGAGGATTCTTATTTGAATTTAGTACAGCACTGACCTCTAGTGGCAGAAGACAATGGCTGCATAGGTGTTACTGAGAAAACCTCTCGGATCCGCTTTTATCAGGGGAAAAAGTGATCCTCCTAACATTTTTTGAAATGTGATTTTTTTTGTCTCTCCTTCTCAGATTCACCATCTCAAAATCTATACTTAATCATTGTCTAACAAGTCAGAATCACGACATATTTCATAGTTCAGTCAAAAATGAGTGTCTCATTATGTTGACGAATATTTTTAATGCAAGAAAATAAAAAACAATTACGCAACTCTGATTCCAACTCAAATCTTCTACTAAATCGGACAGACAGTGTTTCTTGTCGACCACACAACTGAGTTGCACACGAGGGGCCCGCGGCGATTTCGTACGTCACACCCGTCACGTGATTGCGAACACGCGTATTGGTTGGGTCTGCTGGGGTGACGCAGTAGGAAGTAACCGCCGGTTGAAGCAGGCTGTTTGTGATTGTCAGCTACCTGTAGCTCGCTTACACGAACGGAAACATGGCGTTAGCTGCGCTGCTCTTTCTTTTTACGGTCGGTTCTGTCTGTCGAGAAGCCGTGTCAGAAAGAAAGCTAGCATACGTGACTGTGGTGAGTGTTATTAATATGAAGGACTTATTGTGGACAGACGCGTACGGTACTGCGTTCAAAATGGAACAAATTATGTGTTTTCTTTAATTCACAGCAAACCTGTATATTATTCCAAAAGTGAATTATTCTACGAATTAGTAATATTGCTGTCCACAATCTACCTAGCAACCCCTTTAAAAAAATAAAAAGGGAAAAAAGGCTAATGTTGCGTTTGGTTAACACCGCTAATTAACTTGAACCGGTTGGGCCGGCCAAGTGCGACATTCGTCGAGAATAAAACAAAAATAAATCCCAAAAATATATTTGACTCGAACCGTGTAAACGCTTTGGCTTGTTTTTAATTTTGAGTCGTGTGACGTCACGAAACCAGTAATTAGCACAACATGGAGCTCTGCTACCAAACGCAGCTCGTGTTCTTCCATAACTTCCATAACGTGTTGACACATTTAACATGTTGGTCCGGATGAGTGCAGCTTGGTGTCGTGTAGAGACTGTTGTGATTGCGTGGAGATGCGCATATTAAAGTAACCACTTGTCAATATAATTGACGGTCCAGCTGCCATAAACTGTTGCATGTGGACGACGATGCAGATGAGACACCAGCTGGCAACCTTGTAATCCCAGTGTGAAGTGGACATCTCGCACCTTGCTTATTAACTAAATGTACATGCCATTATATCATATATATATAGTAAGAGTGTCTAATTGGCAATGGCTGTTCTGGATTCTGTAATTAACCTTTGAAACCCGCACTAAATTGTCCCTCCCACACACCAGTGCATGTTTGTTTGCATTTCTTTTCTTTTAACTTGCATTTATCTGTTAAACACACGCCAGTGACTTTCCTCCATCAGCGATTAGGAGTTCTAAAGGGATAATCCACCCTTCAAATAGGGTTTACAGACTTCCCAGAGAGCCATACTACTCTGAAGACAATTTGAAACTCAAATCATTTGGGTCGACTGCTGATGTGGCAGAATTTAGCAACGTGGCCTAATCGACTGGATACGGATATTACTTTCCGGCTCTGCCCCCCATTAAGGCCTACAGTGCTTCCTCTGTTTCTGGAAATGTTCCCTTTTAAGGCCCCATCAGGTGGGGACATCTACTCTTTTGGACAGACGTTTGCCAAGATGGTCTCAACCAGCTGAGTGGATTTGATGGCGATGACACAGATCAAACTCTGATGAAGCTGTTGTTTGGGTCTCTGAGCAGCTGTTAATGTTAGCCCTTTTAGTGCTGCAGGGAGGACCTCGTCTTGCGTACCATCCAGGGAAGTTTGCATCGCACTGGTTCCTTTGACCAAGGCTAATGAGATTTTTTCCAATAGATTTGGGATTATTGCAAAAAAACAAACATTTTTGATACTTAGACTTAGTTTCAGCAAGCTATTCTTTCATGATTTGTGAAGCTGGAGTGCAATAATTCAGACTCATTTCTGGAGCCTTGTAGACCGATAGTAGGCTCATAAAGACCAAAGTGTTTGAATCTTATTGACTCAATCAAACGGCTTCCAGTGTTGAACATAAAAAGAGATGCGTTCACATTTTACCCGTCATGCAGTCCTTTTGTTAGCAATTCAAATATTTTATAATAAGCTGTCATTTTCTTGTATATTCAGTGGTACTCAGGTTTCCAATACATTAAAAAAAAATGTTCTTGGAATTTTTAACCCAAGTGGAAACCTATTCACTAGCTGCTGTGGGTTTAGAAGATAAAATAGAAGATCCAGGATTCTCTTTTCATGCCATTTATGGAAGTGTTTTTTGTTGTTCTTCAGTTGGGTCTTTTCTGACCTCCTCTGTGTCTCCCTTCCAGTTGTTTCGTCATGGCGACCGGTCCGCTATTAAAACCTACCCCACCGACCCTCACCAAGAGAGCGACTGGCCACAAGGCTTTGGACAGCTGTCACAGGTGGAACATTGCAGAAGATCCTCTGTTGTCTTGAACTTCATGATACATTCGGGGTTTTTTATTGGACACATCAAGCTCTCCCATATCTTCATTACGTTTGAGTTATTGCTTTGAGTAACACCGTGATATGAAGACTTGTATTTTTAATTTTTTCCCAATCATTATTACAAACTCATTTATCGGGTCCTATGTGACCTCATCGCTGTGTGCTCTTTCAGGAGGGCATGAGGCAGCACTATGATCTGGGCCGGTTCCTCAGGAATCGTTACCAGGGGTTCCTGAACAAATCCTATGATCGACAAGAGGTAACATTGATCATGTGACACTTGACCAGGTCACCTCGCAGAAAAAGGGAGGGAGGGATGGGGGGGCTCTGACATGCTGGTGTTATAACCGCCAACTCACCCATGGCTCCTTCTGTCCGTAGATCTCCGTCCGCAGCACGGACTACGACCGCACCCTGATGAGCGCCGAGGCAAACCTCGCAGGTCTGACCGCCAGCACTCCCTCCTCCCTCCCCCCCTCTCTCCCTACCAATTTGTCGTACTCTCCTTATGGCCCGCATTCACAGCCTCTTGTCCGTCGCCCAGGTCTCTACCCCCCGACGGGTGACCAGGTCTTCAGGGTGGGCCTGAAGTGGCAGCCGATACCTGTGCACACGGTGCCGCAGGCTGAAGAGAGGGTATGTGTTTGTGCACATAGTTTGCCTTTTGCTGTGGATCATTGTACATACTTTGTCTGAACTGTCTTTTGTTTCCTTTTTTAATTTTCTTTTAGCTTCTCTCTTTTCCTCTGGGGGACTGTCCTCGCTACAAACAGCTGATGAACGAAACGGAGCACACAGACGCATTTATTAATGTCACAACAGAGTATCAGGTGTGGGTTGTACTTTTTTTTTTCATGCGACAACGAGGACGACGTGACCTTTTTTTTAATTTCGCGGCGCTCCTCTCTGCAGGACCTCATAGAGCTGGTCAGGAATAAAACCGGACTAAATAACACCACCGTGGAAACCGTATGGAGCGTGTATGACACACTGTTCTGTGAGGTGAGAGCGCGCACACACACACACACACACACACACACGCAACTGAAAAGTATGTACTTATCCGTAGAAAATGAATACAATTATTTTCAGGTAAGACAAGAATGGGCTGGTTTGGTGCAGTTTAATTTTAGAATAAAAGCGTCTTTTCAAGGTATAAGCTGCTTTTTTTTTTTTTCTCAAGTTAACTTCCACTTTTCGACTAACTGAACAGCTCTCATGGTGTTGGGTTTCTGTCTTGTGACTCGTCAGCTTTTAAGGAACCCCATGGACATCCGGGCTGTTGGAGGAAGAGAATTGTGCAATTTTTTTTCTCTTCAGCGTCTTATTCAGTAAACCAGTCTCCGCTTGCATTTAAACATGCTTCCAATCAATGCCATGTATAACTCTCAATATTGAGTATTGAGAGATTTTTAATATATCATCAGGAACCATCGGGTCACTTGAGTACAGCCTCAAGCGCAGAGAGGTGGAGAAGTCACTGCTGACGAGGAACAAGACAGTTTTGTCAGTTTGCTTGATTTAAGGCTTTGGTTTCGTCTTTTGTAGTTCCTCTTCATCAAGTCACAGTGTTATTGTTCCCTTAATTCCTATTGTGTTTTCTGTGTGTGAGTTCAGTCCCGTCACAACATGACACTTCCTGACTGGGTGACTCCTGATGTGATGGGGAAGCTTCAAGTGCTCAAAGACTTTGCATTTCAGGTAAAAGTAGTTTCCACAGTTATGGTTTTAGTTTCGGACCATCTGGTCTCAATGCTGTTGTGTAGCAAGTAATGTAATGACTTTATTTTTTTGTTTTTACACAGGTCACATTTGGGTTCTACAAACTGCAAGAAAAGAGCCGGCTGCAGGGAGGTACACGAGTGAAGTTGAGAGATATTCAAATGTTACCTAAACCGAGAAGTGTTTTTACCATCACTTAATGGTGATCAACAAACCGGTTACCCAGGGCAACAGTGCGGCTCATCGATCATCTTTTTAATGGAGCTCTGAGGCACAAAGGGATAGCTTGGATTGGTTGCTGGCGTACCGCAAGACTTTGAACAAAGGGCTAAATAGGTGTCTTTGTCTTTTAGGTATCCTGTTGGGTGAAATAGTGAAGAATCTTTCCAAGATGGCCGTCCCAGACCCAAAACAGCAGCTTAAAATGATGATGCTGTCAGCGGTAAGATTTTGACAATTCGTTTCTTTCCCTCACATTTGGACAGACAAGCTTTGTGTTTCCCCCCGTTTCAGTCTCAATGGCGAGCTAAGCGTCTTCTGTCTGTAGCTTTGTGTGTCGTGCCTCGACAGACTGGTGTAGATCTTCTATCCCTCTCCCAAAAGCAAGTTTCCTTTTGTAATGTGTGCGTCTGGTCCACAGCACGACACCACTGTAGCCGCCCTGCAGGCCAGCTTGGATGTGTTCAACGGAAGGCAGCCGCCATATGCCTCCTGTCAAATATTTGAGCTGCACCGCGACGACAACGGGTGAATCACAAGCGCAGAATGAGCTGCAGACACTCACTTAATGAATAACGCGAATACGCACTCATGAGTAGCTGATACCAGGGAGGATGTTAATAAGTGCATCGATGTAGAATACACAAGACATTTACTTCAAAAACGCATCTAAAACTGTGTCTCTGTGTCTCCCCCCTCCCTCCCTGCCTGCCCCCCAGCTCTGTCTCTGTGTCGCTGTTTTACCGGAACAGCAGCAAAGCGGAGGCGTTCCCTCAGCAGTTACCGGGCTGCTCCCTCGACTGCCCCCTGGACGACTTTGTGAGAATAACAAAGCTCTCCATTTCGGAAGACCGCGAGAAGGAATGTCAACTGCCGTCAAAGGGGAGAGATAACGGTGAGAAGAAAACCCCACACAAAATACTGAAAGCCCCCCCCCCCCCCCACTCATCCGATGTCTTCATCTGTCTTCAGAAGTGATCATCAGTCTGGCGGTGTCCAGCTCTCTGCTCCTCCTCCTCGTCCTCCTCCTCCTCGGCGTGATTTGTTGGCAGAAGGAGCCAATCGTTAACCGGGGTTACCACCAAGTGATCAACCAGGAAGCCGTAGAGGAATCCTGACACGAGCGCAGACTCGTCCCTCGGAGATCGGCGAGCCTGGCGTCGTGGGGCAGCAGCAGCGACGACGACGAACTTTGAACTATCGGCTCTTGACACTAACAGGATGGTTGAGGCGTCGTCTGAGGGACACGAAGAAAATGCAGCAGGGAAAAAAACTTATATTTGTTTAACAGTTTGTCTTCTAGTTAAGTTGCGGTGCTCTGCAACTTAATCTGTTCCTATGTTGACATATTATTTCAATAAAGGGGCCGCAGGGTGGTGCTGACTTGCACAGGGCGAGTTGACCAAGAGCTTTGTCACAAGTGTCCTTTAGCGAGATACTAACGCGCCAGCAAAATGGCAAACTGCTCTCTTGTCTCTTTTTGTGTGCGTTTGAACCAGCTTCTCAAATATGCAGCTTACCGAAGCTTTTTCTTTCAGTCCGACTGTGAATGATCTGACAAAGGAAAACCCTGTTAAACTCAACTTTGTTTTGAACCGAATAACTGAACCCCCACACTATTTTTTTCAACTATATAAGGTTTTGTTTAATTTCTACTCAAGTATTTAAATTCCTGATTACGTTCTTCAAATAAGGGACCTATTGGTAGAAATCTGAACATTGCAATTTCATTTTCTTTGCTAATCCGGAGTGGGTCCACTTGTCTGCAGCATTCAAAATGGGTGGGAATTTGAAAGTTGAATCCCACCCATTGGATTTCTGTCGAATATTATTTCATTTGTTTGGACTCGTTCTTACAACCAAAGGTGAGCTTGTGAAACAGACACAGGTGGGATGTAACCGAGCTAGTTCTTCAGTTCATATGTCCATTTAATGATATTTCACTCAAACGAACTAATGTTTACATTGTATTTTGGCAACACAACTGCCCCTTTAATAGGGACAGTGGTTAGCATGCTAGCTGTTAGCTTAAGCTAAATTAAAAGCAATGCTTGCCGTTAAGAAAGCTTTTTTTGTGGCTAAATGTAATTTATATAAAACACTGCGGTTACTGTCATTTCCAGGGTTAAGGGTCTTCAGCCAAAACTATGGGGTTTAGTGAAATATATGTTAAACCATAAACTGTCACTAAAAACTTTATCTTGAAATAAATTTCAAATCCCAATGCAATATGGTCCAGAATGTGGCTCTATTCTTAAGTCACAATTTTGCACTGCATGAATGAAAACAGTTTTAATTGCAATATCCTACACAATTAAGATTATGTCTGTTCAAACTCAGTCATTTGGAATTCCGGCTTCTATGAAATTCATTCTTGTTGCTCGTACATGTTTTTTGGGGGGAAATAAACGTGAATGTGAATGTAGACGTTCAACACTTACGCTGAGGGGGAATTTTTTTGTTGCAGTGTTTTGCAGCGTGCTGCGGTCTTGACTTAATTCGGGTTAAAGTTGTTAACTAGTAAACTCGGCCACATGACTGGCTGCACAATATCATTTCGGTGCAACTCACCGGCAGTTTGATGCCGATCACACCTTTGGGTTTTATGTGGTTCTGTCAACTACCTTTTGTGTATCATTTAAAATTAATATTTGTGATCATCAAAAAAAATTCTGCTTCGCATTTGTCTTAAAAACAGTGCAGTAGGGCTTTATTTAAACATGGTAGTGCTTTTCTTGCGTACATAGTTAGTGATCTGTCACACAATAGGTTACATTCAGTATGGCCACGGATAAATGAATCTATAACATAAAAAATAAAAACAATGGCACAACGTTGTTAAACAAATGATGTCACCATGTAAGGAAAGTATGACATGAGTTCCTGCACTCTGATGCACTGCAGATGTGGGTTTTCCTGAAAGAGGAACAGCTGTACATGGAACTGCGGTTCCATGGCTGCATTTCAGCGTCCCGTGACCCTGGTTGATACATGCAATGCCTTTTCATTTCTTCTTGCTTGAATACAGTGTTAAGGTGGTCATTTACAGATTGAGATTCAAGACATCTGAATTTGGCTTACATGTCGTGGTGTTGGCCAGTATCTATTCATTCAGTCCTGACTGCACAGATGTGTACACTGATTCAGGTCTGAGAACTGGGTACATGTATGAAAGTGAAATATTATTTCAGGCTTTAATCGGTCAGATTGAGAAAATGTGTGAATTATATTATTGATCAAATAAAAGGCTAAGTTCCAAACCTAAAATCTACACACAGACATGCACTCAAAAACACACATGGATTAGAAATGGATTAAGTTGACACACAAACAATTAAAAAACGGCAACCGTTTCTTGTGCAAAGATTTTTCTTCAGGAATGAAAGTATAAGATATGAAAAAATGTGATGGCACATTGATATCTCCTTTCTCAAAGGATAAATAGTAAAATATAGAACAGAAGCGATGATTGAAGAAAATTCATAAAAGAATTAGGAGACAGAATCCTACATTCAGGTCCAACGCCTTTCTCTCTAAAGGTTCACTTCGAAGTGCAAAGTTTTGCCGTACAACTCACTAGAAGGATCAAACTAAATGACAGGTTTTTGGTCAAACTTCTGTTTTGGCAACGTTTCCACCCTGTTAATGAACAACCCCAGGGTTGATTTCTACTTAAATGTGGAATACTGATCAAACATTCAGAACCCTTGATTGTATGACATTCCCTGTCTCAGGTTCTTCACAGTTTCCAATGTATCATTATGGGCAAGTAAACCTGGATTTGGCTGCAGTTCAGTATATTCCTACAATAGTCCTGTTACTGTGAATCAGCAGATTTTGTTAAAGCCTGAAAAGGTTGTTGAAGTAATCTGTGGACACGCTTCCGCCATATTAATGCATTTGTTAGAGATTGCATTTTTCACACATTGACTGTGTGCTATTTAGCTTGACGAAGTACACGCATTTTCAGGAATAATCTTGTGATATTTGTGAACCCTGAAAATAAGCTCGACGTTATTTTGCTGACAGTTGTTAATATTTTACATATCTAAACAAAACACAAATCCAGTAGCGAGTCGTCGGGCTAAAGTCTCAAGCTCGCTAACACCATTTATACAGCTTTTCTATTTCTGTGGCTCCAAAAATAAATAGTTGAAAACTAAATAAAGTTGCCACCAACAAGCTAATAATGTTCTGATAGATGGACGTTCGGGTTTGCCTTTCGTATTTCAGTTTTGCCAAGAATTTTCTTGGTTGAAACAGATTATGAGTTAAAGCTAACCGCTAGCGCTGGCCAACTCCCACTGCTACGAAAGCTAATGGCGAATCAGTCCTAAAGAGCCGGCGTCCTTAGTTATTCCTATTCAGCCATAAGAACAACCATTGTAGATTTGCTTGCCAAAGCCGAGTGAACAGGACGTCTCCGTGTCCGGAGCTTTTGGAATTAGCCCCGTTGAGCAGAACGGTTTGTTCCACAGAAGCACAATTGGATGACATTTACAAGAAAAGGATATGCATCTACTCCCTGACGATTCCAGCCTTACAAATGATAACAGACTTGAATGTTGAAACATTAAGTTTGGTCTTTGCGGTTTTGGGTGCAGCAGCCACATTAGTGCTAAACCTCCGGTCCGCGGCCTGCGCCTGCTCTCTTTCTGGTCCATACGTGCCATTTAAAGACGGTGATGTCTTAAGAGATGCAAGCCTCTTCTCTAGAGTAATATGGCGATTTGGAGCAATGCCTCAGAATATTACTCAAGATTACCTGCTTTGATGCATCCGGGGGGGGAAGCAAAATGGTGACAAAAAAAGGCAGGAACTTGTTAGTTGTTAGTCAAGTTTCTTTCAATCTCTCCGGACGGACGCTGCTCAATTCTGTGGGGTGCAGAAATACGTTTGCGAGCCGCAGTAATAACTCTGCGGCGTGGAGAAGTAGTTACTGTGATGGCGGTGTTGGTGGTGGTGGTTGTTGTTGTTCTGTGGGGTGGAGTAGTAGTTGTGATGGTGACTCTGGATGTTGCCGTAGGCGAAGAGGAGGGGGGCCGTGGAAGACGGCGGTTGCAGGGTGGGAGAAAGGCCCGCCGCCAAAGTTCCGTTGCGCTGAATGGAGCCGTACCAACTAGACGTGGCCAGCTGGGGAGTGGTGGCGAGGAAGCTGAGAGATGGATCGAGAAGAAGAGGGAGGAGGGAGACAATAGACACCAGGTAAAAACCCACCCAAAGTATTTTTATCGCGGGTGGTGATTTACTTGGGTATGTGCCCACCTGGCGCGATCGGCCCTGCTGTTAATGCTTCTGGAGAGGTCGTCATCGCTGTCGTACCGTCGAGGGTTGTCAAAGAAATACGCTCTAGAGCTGAAACTGTGGCTGTTGATCATCCCTCCTGGAGCCTTGGAGTCAAAAAGAGATGTTCAAATTCCATTACACTCGAGTTTTTTTTCAACCAATTATTGCTAGCGTATCTACTTCACATGTTATCTCACCAGGTTTTGATTTGGTCTCTGGACTCTGAAGAAAACCACCACTAAACTTGTAGGTAGCAGCTCCCAGAAGAACAGAATGATCCCAAACGCCACGTAGGCTTCGCCGCTGATCTCCTGCACTTCGGCCTGCATCACATAAACATTCAAGACTCAAACTTAACTTAAACACTAATTACTGCAAATATTGCATATCATGCTTTGGCATTTTGAGCTTTTCAATCTTGTGAGTGCACATATCCTATTTTACAATTTGACATTGCTTTTGTCACAATTATGGCAGCATTGAAGGGCCAGTGCGCAACATTTGGCGCCATTCAATGGTGAGGTTGAAGATGGCAACCACCTGAACTTCTCAGTTATGCCAAGCCGGTGAGAGAACTACGATCTGCCTTTCTAGATTCATTGTTTGTCCAGTCCGGGGTACAGCAGAAACATGGCGGCTAGCAAAGGCAGATTGAGATGTCTAACTGACAGCTTGTATTCAGACGGATCACAATAAAAGAATTGGAAAATGTCAGATTATGACAGCACATTCACACACAATGGAACCCCTTAAAATGGGCCACCCATCTCCAGTCCTAAGCCATGATGTAGGTCAGGACACACACGCGCACAAATATATGGTTATTTATAGCCAAACAAAGCCCTTTACCCCACTGGGCATTTCTTTCCTAAAGCCCCTGCAATGGATTGTCCACTCTCTCACACACACAAACAAAGGCCTTGGGTTTCTGGCTTAATAAAAGCTGGTTTTCTGTCAAAAACCCATTACTCTCAGTCCAGTACCTGATCGGAAACGCTATACCAGCCGTAGTTGAAGGGACTGGGTCTGTCCTGCGGCGACAGGGCCACTGCCACCAGGTTGTAACAGGCTCTGGATGTGTAGAGCAGGATCACCATAGATCCTATGGCCGTAGCTTGGCACACCGACGTACCCTGGGTAAAAGAGTAACCGCGTTTATTACAAGTCATGCATCTGTTCTACCTGTGATCCATTGAAATTTATGACGGGTTAGTGATGTTACAACTTAAGTATTTCCGTTTTACATTTAATTTTTTTAATACAATTGTATTTAAAAACTATTTACGATACCATTTGCTTTCACATACACCGTTTTCCACTGCAAAATAAAATATTTTGTTTCTGTTAATTCGGCATGAATTTAATTTTTAGTCTTACCTTGGACTCGAGGTAAACGTTGGCAGAGGACATCTTGGCGATCTTGAAGACGCAGACCGCCAGAGAGACGGCGCACAGGACAAACAGACTGTCGTTGATCAAGACCCGGGCCAGAACCGCGTGCTGGATACCCCCGTCGCTGGAGACACAAAGGTCACGACCTCTCGAGTGAAACCGTTCCGTGGGCGCTCAACGGGACATAGACACCATGAAGAGGAAATGTGCTGTGTTCTTTGCGCTGATTTCGTTTACCTCGGAGGTTCGGAGCGCTGCAGAGCTTCTTGCACCAACAGCGCGCAAGTCAGATTCACCACCAGGAAAAATACACCGAGACACAGGAAGAACAAACGCAGAGTCACCCTGGGGAGGGAAAGGGACAAGACGTTGGGTCTTCGTTTATGCAAAACAACTCATTAAAACATGTTGAATCTGCTAAACAACTATGTGTGTGTGTGTGTGTGTGTGTGTGTGTGTGTGTGTGAGAGAGACAAGAAGGGAGAAGGAAGTCTTGTTGCTGATAGGAAGACGGAGAAAACTGCAAATAACGAAGATAAATGAAGTTCAAGGACAGACTTACTTGTATTTTGTGAGCTCCGGGGAATACTTTGCTTTAGCCTTAAACATCACCTACACAAAGATATACAACAAAAAGATACATATCATTACATGGTGACAGTATATTTGGTTAAGATAATAGAAGAGAAGAAAATAAGGAACACAGGAAGGTGTTTTTTTTGTGAACATTCAAGTGCACTCAAAATTGATTGAATGCGATATGTTATAATTAAGAGGAATAAATTAAGGCCTCTGAGCCTATAGTGGACCGCTGTGCAAACAGGAAATAAGACGTCACTTTATTTTGTTAAGTAAAAAAAAAAAAGGCTCTTAGAATGACTGCGAGGCTCTACAGCAGTCGTCCGAGTTGATCGACTATGGCGAGGCATGCAGGTCGGTCTTTCTGTTGTCCAAGGCTTCAGCTTATTAGCGATTGAGGCTACAACATTTAGTGAAGTGCACTTTTTCTGTGTATACTTTTTTTTTTTGAAAGTATTTGAGATTACTGAGTGCATTCATGCTGACTTGCACTTTTTAGATGACTTTGTAGTGACATGAATGGGGGCTTTCAAATCCTTGTCTATGTGTATATATATATATATATATATATATTTTATACATACACGTGTGTGTAATACTATATCTATACATACATACAAGAACCAAAAGTGGGTCCATTTCCCACCCATCCCATTAAATATACACTCAAATGCCACACAAAGTGAGGCCAGAAGTCATTGCAAACGGGAAGAAAATGGCAAGAAATACCTGACAAATGAAAATACATTAAATACGATCCATCTAAAAACCAGTCAAACCAAAATTACATTTCTGTTATCTACAACCTGCCAACATGTTATCAATGACAACACCCAACTGGAAGAAGTCCAGTTTGGGCGGCCAGGCCTCCACTGGGCCAGTTCACCGTCGTCCTGCAATAGCCTTTTAGATATTGCAAACTGTTTACCCCAAAATGTGGTTTATTCTGTTTTTAACGAACACGCGGAGCGCACCGTCTCTTACCAAAGACATTTTTGATATTATGTGATTAGATGGCCACAGGTCTTGATCGTTGCTCACCATTGAGTTTAAAACACACATAAACACTCAGCCTTTTGTGAGAGGATGTAGGCCAGAAGAAGGTAATTGGTAACCCAGAAAAGCAGCAGCCAGCCAACAGAACACGACCAGATTACGGATTCTATGAGCACACAAACATCACGGGGAAAATGCAGCTAAATCTTCCTCCTTTTTTAGTCCTTCCAGTAAAGGAGGAGATTTTAATAGTTTGCTGCTGAACATTAGTATGAACATTTTCTGTTTACCTGGAGTGCACAAAGAAAGGTGTACATTTGATGCTGTAATGTGGTCATAAATGTCTTTGGTGATTTGGTTAAAGCCCTTTGAATCATTTATTTGACACACATTTAATCATTAACTTCACCCCAAAATCAACAAGGCCACTTTCCTTTACTCTGAATGGATTAAAATGCAGCCGGTCCGGTGCATTTTAGTATAAAACACTGTTTCCCGACCTTGTTGACTTGTACCCTCATGTCACATGACTGCATAAGCTGTGCGAATTAAAGGCTTGTGTTTGTGCAGGTCCAATATTTGATATTTTTGTAGCTCAGTTTTGGTCTCCACCAGGAAAAATTCTTGCTAATTTGGTTCACAACTATAATCAGATAACCGATTATAGCTTCTTTAACGTTTTGTTAAATTACTTTCAGTGTTTGATATCTAGTTTTATTTTAACTGAGACAGTAAAAACTCTAGTAGAAACACTATCTATTAGTCATGTCTGACTTGGCGAGACACAAAACCACAAGTAGGAAAAGTTTGATCTCTGAGCCGCCAGTCACATGGTTTTCCAGACATAGATTGAGATACATTAGTTTTAAACTGGGGAGGAACGTTTTTTTATGCAAAGTAGCATAAGCACCAAACAAAAGGAAAATTGTTTATTCAGCCTTTTGACAGGTTGCAGGTCAAGTGTTTTTTCAGCAGTCCAAAGACAACGTCGGATTCATTACGGAATCTCCCCTCAGCCAGTTGGACAAGCTTCCTTTCCAACTCACACACCCATTTTACGTGAGTAAAGATGCTCCCTGCGTTTGCCTCAGAAGGCCGTGTTTGATCTTCAACCCTACTGAGAGTCCCGAAGTGGTTTGGTGTTTGCCAACAGGAACATGCCGGTCTTTGACATTTGGGGTGGGCAGGTTTTGAACAACAGCTACTGACCAACTGTCTCTCTTTACTCCATCTTACACACCCCCACCCACACACTCCATTCTTGTCCATTTATTAAACATCGATGTGACGCAGGCTTTTTTTTTCTTTTTCCAACCAGTCGGTCTCAATGTCAGTGGCCTGAACTGAGCCAAAGCGAAGCCCTAGAACCTGATTTGAGTGAATCAACAGATTCTTTAGAACATGTGAGCCTAATGGTGATTACAGTAACCACATTTCACCAGTCTGTGGTGGTAACTCAAAGCAGGAGGGGGGGGGGGGGGGAAACTATTTCTTAGCCGGGTGCAACTTCCAGGAGTCCTCGCGTGTTGCCTTGCACACAGCATTGACACCATGATGAGCCATTCCTTTTATGGGTTGGGGGGGGGGGGGGGGCCAAAAGCCCCCCCCCGCAAAAAAGGCCCAAAATAAAACCAATTAGTATTAAGCGCCCAAAAAAAAAACTTCCAAAAAACCAATGGGGAGCGTTATGTTGTGGAAAAGGCGGCTCCTTTATTTGTCAAATTGTTGTTGACAAAATGGCAATGTCGGCTGTTTTGTGCAATCAGGTGCCCCCTCCCTCTCCGTGCAGCCTTACCTGTGTGAAGTAGAGGTTCAGTAGGCAGAGTGTGAAGAACTGCAGACAGACGGGGCAGCAGTAGAGCAGCCAGTAGGCCAGAGGCTGCAGCCGGTTGGCCTGCACCACATTTTTAAAGTAGAAGGAGAAGAGTGTCGTCCTCAGCGCGGCCCACAGCAAGCACAGGAACAAAAACACACTCTGGTAGCTGAAGCGCTTGTGTCCGTAGTGCAAAATGAGCCAGAGCTGCAGGTAAACGAATGCGAACAGGAGGGAGTACAGGCCGGTTTAACTCGCCATCCTGCTTTAGTCTCCTGGGTGGGGAATCTCGGTTTCGGGGGGACTTTTTTTGCGAGGAAAACAAGTGGGATTGGACTCGTTCTTTTGTCGAAAAATTTTCCCCCGGCGGTTCCCATAAACCCATGGAATTCTATGGAGGGGGGGGGGGGGGGGGGGGGAACACTACAACTGGGTCAGACTCGTGTTAAATGCACCGCCGGTGGAAAAACAGACGAGGGCAATCGGGTGAAAGCGTGCGACAAAAGCAGTTTAGTCTGAGGGTAAGTGTCATAATGAAGCTCCGCCGGGGTTTAAATCCGATACTAGGCTGAATAAAATATGGGGTTTAGAATTAAAAACAAATGTGCACCGTTTAAAAATATCAAGAAACGGAGGAAGAAAACACGAGAGCGGTCCATCTGTGAATCTCTGCAAGGCTGTTCTCTGCAAAAAACAACTTAAGGGGGGCAAAACCTCCAGATCAGCTGTGATGCCGTTTTAGACCCGCCCCTTTGCTCTCGACTAAAGCGGAAACTGGCGTTTGATAGGCCGCCATTTTGGCTCACAATACGACTAGTTTGCTTGTGAAACAACTGACTCTGGAGCCACAGATTCTGTCCAGTTTCCGAAGATAAATCTACGGACAAATCTACCAAATGAGAGACGTCCTCACGCCCACTTTCGTAAAGCGCTGATTCATTGGCCAAGCCAGCCAACCCAGCCTCCACAGCCTTCTCACGCCATTGGTTCATGATGATGTCAGCTGCGACAGTTCCCGCCCTTAGGTCGCCTGTGATTGGTTACCAACCTGTCTCCCAACCTTATTGGCTCAACGGAGCATACATACGTCGCTTGCTAGGACAGACGCCATCAAAACAATTTGCCAATATTTTACGTCAAGTTGCTGAGCAACAACCGACAGTTGTGAGGGAAACGTGAATGCCTCCAAAATAAAAGCTTTGATAAAATCGTAAAACAGCCATATTATTTGCAGCTACAAATTCTGATGATGTAATTTTCACGATTCTCATGGGAGTTGTATGGACAACTCGAAACCCCTGCAGCACATTTTCCAAATAAGGACTTTATTTTACAATGATAACAGGAAACTGATGTAGCACCAGCAGCTTGACATAAGTATGCTGCATCGTTCTCTAGAGATACATTTTTCAAATTTCACTGCGCAGTTAGATTACAAACCAAACGTTCTAACGTTCACGGACATTTATATTTTGATTTTACTGACAAGTGTCGACGTGAGCGATGCATAAAAAAAACATGCCCAAACATACAGTGGGAAACAGGCCGAGCTAACGCTAAGTAATTAACATTAGCTAACGTCAGCAACGACACCATCAACCCCAACTTAAAGCATAAGGCACCCTCTGTGGGCTTTGCTGGCGTTAACCGCCCAGGAAGAAGCTGCTGCCTCTTAATAGCCGTCATAATGTAAGTTGTCCTCTTTATTCCTGTGCTTGGTGACACTTTCGCACCTCCTCCAGCCCCCGGAGCCGCTCCGGCGCCATGTGGCCGTGCGTGGCCGCTCTCCTGCTGCTGCCGCTGGGAGGATGCGCGCGGAGGACCGGCCCGTCGGCCCTGACCGAGCACACGGCGGCCGACTTCAGCGACGCATTGCATTCTGGGAAGACGCTGTTCATCTATTTCCAGCAACTGGGTAGGTTGCTTTAAAAAGTAGTTTGTGAAATACAGATGTGTCAACAAGCCTCTTCACTCCCTGATCTCTGTCTCCAGTCTCCCCAACCATCTCCCTCTTCTTGGTGGAGTTGGAGCAGTCAGCTGACGCTCTGCAGCATTATGGGGTGCTGGTTGGCAAGGTAACCGCAGGCCTGCTGTCATTGACGTTTGACACAAAAGTATTTGGAGAATTTTTTCATTTTAAACGTTTACCCACATGGGAGGTGTGTTTTTGACCTTTTTCTGTTCAGGTAAACTGCAATAAAGAGTCTTTTCACGGGTACTGCGCCGAGGAGAAGGCCGTGAACACAGTGTTTCTCTTCAGGTCAGCGGCGCGCAGCGGCAGGAGGGAGTTGGCGATTTTGAATTTGTCAGGAGAGACGCCAGAAAACGTGAATTGGGTTGATGTGTTTTTGTCCCGTGTCTTTCTGCCAGGGGTGGGAAGGAGTTCTTGGGTTTCAGTCTGGACATCGTGTTTGACGTCAACTCCATAGTGTCCGAGGTCCTATTGTGAGTAAGCAACAATTCAGTCAGTCTTTCTGAAACATGCAATGGACAAAAACAAATGCTTGGTTTTACAGGATATATCGTTTTCTCTTATTAAAATTATTTAGCAATATATTGCTTAAAAAATATGTATATCTTTTGTAGGACATGCAACATTTTTTTTTAAATTTCTAACTAAACAAATCGATCTCATGCACCCTAGATTTTGACTATCGTGTGAAATACAATAACGGAAACCTAACTTTATTGCATTGAAGAAGCTTTTCTGTACTTCTTAGCTCGATGGCCAATTAATCAACCGATTGTTTCAGTGCTACAAATGTTCGCATTACGTGTGATTGAAGGTTTTAGTTGAGCTGCTCTGGATATATTGGCCAATGCTAACGAGGGCACCAATTAGGACGAATCTGCCTCTCAAAATAGTCCCCTACAAATGCTCAGTTTCCTCCTGTTAAAATGTAACATTTGCCAGCGAACCAAAAGTGAGCTCTGAAGTTCTGATTTGATTTATGTTGGTACGGACCAAACAGACAAGAGACGAGCTCCAGAGGGACCCTTTTGAGAAATACTTAGCTGTAGTCTGTCTTCTCTAGTGCCATTCTGCGTGAAGAGATCAAGTACGTTCACACAGAAACTGACCTGCTGGCAATGGAGAAGGCCGCCAGAGGGAGGAAGGATATCGCTCTGTGTTACGTCAGCAGCCTGGGAACACAAGGTACGGAAAGCAGCCGGGGATGGAGACGATCCGGCTAATGTGTTTTAGGATTGACTTGTGGGTCGCACTGTGAAAGATGGCGAGTCCAATTGATTAACTCAACCGACTGATTCAATTAATTGTATTGTTGTTGCTGATTTGTGTTATTTAAGAGCACAGATCGATGATGGAGACGGCGTATGTGTACGGATCCAAACACCAATTCATCCTCATCACCGGAGGCCCAGTTTTGAGCCACCTGGGGTCGGTTGTTTTATCTTTTTCCCTTTTCTGGATAATGTACCAGATTGTGTTTCACACAGGCGACCGAGATCAGGCGTGTCATCTGTTTTACACGTTTCACGCAACCCTGGAGACGAAAACCAAAGGGAATCGGTCATCGGAACCCCCCGAAGAAGCTTATTCACCGCGCACGTCTCTCCTTCTCCGTCTCGCCTTGCAGTGTCGATGAGACGTCTCGCTCGTCTCAAGTGTGGTTTCTCCACTGCAGCGGCCACAGCAGGTCCATGACCTCCGAGCACTGTCCCTCGACCCGCATGAGCCAACCGCTGTCCACCCTCAGCCTCCACTCCTTCCTGCAGCTCATGGAGGCTCCACTGGTGGTGAGCTGTGTGGAGAGGAAGGATTGATGGTCATTTTGTATTTTTTTTTTTTCTCCCCAAAAATGAACAGAATGTATTCACACGCACACAATCGCACGCCTTCTCTCTCCGCTGCGCAGTCTGAAGTTTACCAAGACCCGTCCTCGGTCCGGCCCCCCCAGCACCCTTACCAGGACACCCCCCAGGTCTTCCTGTTCTCTCGTCCCGCAACCAAGAGAGAGGACCTGTACGAGGCCACAGCTCTGGCCTGGAGGCTCCGCGGCCTCGCCCTGGTGCTACTGGTGCACAGGTACAAAGCCCAGGTGCATGTGGATCAGATCCTTTTGCTGGATATGTTGTGGTGTCACACTGCCTTGTGTTCTCCATTCTTTCATGTCGTAGCGTTCTTTTACCGTGCCTTTGTTCATATCCCCAGCAGACCACTGTAAATCTAACTTCAGTATATATATGTGTGTGTGTGTGTGTGTGTGTTGTCAGGAGTCCTGCAGTGAAAACCCCCGAAGAATATAATGCTGCTTACAAGCTGCCTGAGAAAGTACGAAGCCGTCATTAATATTTTATACAAAAAAATAAGATGACTCATTATTTTCACCCATGTGTGTGTGTGTGTGTGTGTGTGTGTGTGTGTGTGTGTGTGCGCGCGCGCTTTTTAAGGGTTCAGTGGTGAAGTATTTGCGCTCTAACAGCGCCGATGAGCTGTTGGAGCTTTTCACCAATCCAGTGGAAGAGGACGAGGACGAGGAAGAGGACGAGGACGAGGAGGACCCGGAGGAGGAGCCGCTGGACGCGCTGGACGATGAGATCGCGGAGTCTGTGTTTGAGAATCGTCTGAACTTGCCGGACGCCGACTCGCTGGCCCAGCTGACCTCCGACAACTTCCACGCCACCGTGGCACAGAGCAGCCTGACGGTGGCGCTCTTCTACCTGCCGTGTAAGCAACACTCCTTCTGCCGCCCCCACTGAATAATTCGGCGGAGGAGCACGCGGAGGGAAGTAATGGTCGTTCTGCGCTTTCCCCACCAGGGAGCGCTGTTTCAAACGCCGTCCTCAGCTCATTCAGTGACGTGGCGGAGAGACTCGAAGGTAAGCCGGAGGGCGGGACAGCTACCCGCTGACGGGCGTTAGCAGTGTTGATGATGTAACTCTGTACGGTCATATGTCTTAAAAAGACACGTTTGGCTGATTTAAAAAATCCCTCCAAGGTTCCGAGGTCCAGATGAGCGTGGTGAACTGTGCGGAGTGGACCGACCTCTGCGCCGCCGAGTCGGGCGGCTCCCCCCCAATCCCCTTCCAGCCAATCACGGCCTTCCCCACCGTCTTGCTGCTCCGCCCCAAAGAGTCGGCCCAACGCTACGGGGGCCTGCTGGGTGCCGAGGCGCTGCATCGCTTCATCACGCTGTGAGCTTTCTAAGGGTCCCCGTGCATGAATCCGCCATATGTAATTTTAGACGCCAGGAAAGACTAAATAAGCTTTGATGTCCCTGTAGGGACGTACACGCTGTGCCACATGTTCACAGCGGTAGAATCTAAAGCCACGTCAGCCTTTCGAACACACCATAGTTGTGCCACGCGTGTGTGTTCTGCGTACATGCCTGTCTCTTTAAAACCAGGAGCCAGCCGGCGTCTCCGGTGCTACTGTCCACCGAAGAGGAAGTGACATCATTCCTCCTGGAAGGGTTTGCCAGATACAAGCCGGCTCGGGCCCTGGGACTGTTTAGGACCCGAGCAGATGCAGGTAGGAGTCTGTAAAGTTACATTTCTTAAATAATGGTGAGGCCTCGATAGCGGATATTAAAAGGACCTTCGTCATGAATTCAGCGACTGTGACCGGCGCCATAATGATGTAACGAGGATGTCGGCCCGTCTCGTCAGGTGTGCGGCAGTTCACTGAAGCGGCAAAGTCACTGAGAGGAGAGGTGCTGACCGGGCTGCTGACTGATGGGCTGGCAGAGAAGTGGTGGGGACTCTACATTCCGTCTCGAGCAGCTTAGTCCGGCGTGAAAAAGGACCCTTCGTTAATGGTGTGGCAACGTATTGTCGTATTGCCCTGCAGGGCAGCGGAGCACGGCGTGCGTCTCCCCGCGGCGTTGGTGCTTCCATCGGGGGCGAAGCGCACTCGGGCCTCCGCGCTGCCCGCTTCCGCCTCCGCCCAGGAGCTACTGTCACACATCGGCGCCGCGCTGCTGCATCCAGTGGTAAAACCGACGTGCTCATCCCTCCGTCACCTTCACATTGATCAACACTGAACAATGTTCTTTTTTCTTTTTTCTTTTTACAACCCCCTGATTTTGAGCTCAAGGCAGATTTCTATTTAAATCTCTTAAAAGTAAATGCGCAGTGAATAAACGTTTCCCAGAATGTCACGGATTACAGGACCCGAGTGCTGGATCCAAGGCAACGCGCTCCAAGGGGAGGGAGTAATGCCGACCTAACTCGGTCGCAAACATGGCAATAACGTGGAAACGGGCAGTTTTTGTTTTGAGTTCATTGAACTACAGGGCACTTTGGATTAGAAGGCACGCAATGCCCAAAGATGCCAGTAGGCGGCGCTGTGTCTGTGATTTTAATAAGACCGGAATGCAGCAAGGTGCTTGCAACAGGTTCACCCATTTAAAAAGGACAGTTTCTTTGATAAAAGAAGTATATATTTTTGGGTAGTTGAACTGTCTTGATTCTGTTTCTCCTGCAGAAGCACTCACTTGTAATATGGTGCACATTTTGAAACACCACCATCTTTTCTTTTCTTTTCTTTTTTTAACTCCAGCCGGAGCTGACGGTGGAAAACCTGCCGTCCTTCCTCTCTCTTGGCAGAGGCCTCCTCCTCCTCTTTGTGGGAGAGGAGGAGGACGAGATCGGGCATACGCAGAACCAGGCGCTGCTGAAGGAGATGAGAGACGTGGTGGAGCTGGGAGGGGGTTGGATGGAGCGATACCTGGTCTGCTGGCTCCACCTGTACGTGATGACGAGTCAGCCGTTTTGTTTCAAAGTCACCCCACTGGATGGTGTTAAATTGTTGACCTTCGTCTGCGTTCTAGCGGCCACACTCCGGCTGGTATGTCTGTCTTGGGGTCGTACCTGGGCTCCATGCCCCCCCTCCCTGCCCTGGTCCTCACCCACTTGCCCTCTGGGAGTGAAGTCTATCAGTACCCCCCCAATACGCCCATACTGGCCTCCTCTGTCCTGCAGTGGCTGCAGAGGGTGGAGGACGGGACGGAGTCGGCAGCAGGTGAGGAGGACGAGGACGAGGAGGAAGTGCTGAACAGAACAGAACAGCTGAATATTGTTCATTTCCATAGTCACGCAGTGATGCAAAACAAAATCCCACTGTCAAAAGATAAAGACATACAGAAGCCAAAACACAAGAACAGATGTATTAACTACAACCGAAAAAAAGAAGCAGTAACGTTCTACATGCTGTTAGAATATTAAGCAAAGATGTTTTTGAATCCAGCAGAAAAAAAGCTCACGCCGAGCTTCAAGCCAGCAATCAAGTAAGATCCATTATTAATTCCCCTTCTTTATTCACACTAATTACTCTCCCCCTATTTAAACATGTTATTCCTCAGATGTCAAAAGAAGAGGAATACAAATGGAATGCCATGTGTTCTCCTGTGACGACTGAGAGTTCTCTACATTTCTCCAGATGGAGTAAAAAGCGGCGAGGCGGGTCACGTGTCACAGGAGAACGCGTGGGCCAGTGTCAAACGCTAGTAAAAGCATGAAAGAAACTACTAAATACATGTACTGGTTATCTCCTTCACTGAGGCACACACACACACACACACAGCAGAATGCAAAAGCTGCCGACAGGCCGACAGTAGCAGGATCGAGTTTGCGTCTGTCCCGCCCGAGGAATCCGAGAGGTCATCGCAAAAGGCTTTGAGTTGAGCACCTACGAGTGTTTTGAGAAAAATGGTCTCTAAAGATAGCCGTTAACCTCTGACCTTTTGAACTATGTAGTCTGGTGAGGGCCGAAATGAGCCGGCACGTTCCCATCTGACTCGCCTCCGGGCTCTCCCAACCAAGGGGTTGCCTGCACAGACCTGCAAACTATTAGAGTGAAGATAAAGATAAGATATAAAAGCTTTTTGTTCTGATACAGCGGGTTTAGGGTGGTCGCCCCCAGCCATGTTTTTTGTAAACTACTTGATCATCATTACATTACACTGAAGGCGTGTGTGTGACCTCCGTACTCTGCATGACATGGCGTGCTGCGTTTCCACATTTCTGTCTCTACAGGGATGTTGGGGGGGGGCAGCTGGCCTCCCACCACCGAGCTCTTCGACTTCCTGAAGATCATGGACATGCAGGACCCCGACCTCAGCCGACAGCGAGCCTCAGAGGAGAAGGTGGAAGAAGGAGGGGACTCCTTTCCCGCACGGGACAAGTACCCTCACACCGAACTGTGAGGGAACGAGCGTCTTCACGTCCTGGTTTCTTCCCACCGCGGCATTGGGACTGATTGCTGGTGGACTTTGTTTCTGCTCGATTGGCCAACCGTATGAACTTCTTTATTGTAGCTCAGCTGGGGGAAGGGAACTTGTGAGGGAGTTTACCCGAAAAAACATGTTTTGTGATGACGAAGACATGGTTGAAGTGCCAGAAAACCGCCATCCTCATCAGATACACGACCGTACGCGGTTTAGTCCTCCACAGATGATGTGCCACATAAATGTTTTTAACTAACTCACATCTGCCTTCCCTCTTAAATGATACCACGCGTGGAAACTGCAGTGACGAGATGTTTACGTCCTCTGTGTGTCTTGTAAATTAGTCTGAATGTTCTTTTCCTATTATTTTAATTACTACGACAGCGGCTAAACGGAATGGCTGCGCGTCGTTTTTAATTTCTTCTTTTTCTTTTGGAATTTGAGATGCAGAAGAGGTGAAATAGGCCAGTCGGATTTGTCCTGTCTCATTATTGTTATTCAATTTATTATGGTGTTTTTAAGATCTGTTTTTTGGGACTTTGAGTTGTTAGAATCCATTAGTCTCCCAGTTAAAAGGGAACATTCATCTTTAACGGTCTGCTGAAGGATCCGAAGGGCCATTGTGGTTCAGAGCAGAATGTCTTTTGAACCCATGCGAATCTTCAGCTTAAGGCTTTTTCCAAGTGAACCGACTGTCCGAACAAATGACCCAAACCACAAGACCTGTAAGTGTTTGGTTTATCATGTTGGAATAGATTATTATGAAAGGGTATTGACAAAAATATATTTAATTCCACATAGAAATATTTCCACAATCGGGCTGTCTTCTAAAGTACTTGTTAAAATGGTTTATTTTTGTGAATGTATATACACTGCGTGAGCACTGCGCAGTCCTGCCCTTCTGTCCATTAGGCGCTGCACAAAGGTGAAGGGTCAAGCGTTTGCTGACTAATGCTGAAAGGCGAAGGGGGGAAGTTACAGGAGAGAAGCGATGGTTAACTACACAACAAAATAATTAAACTACTTGATTAACAATCAAGAAATGAATGAAACTGAGTGGACACTTGTCTGAGAAGAAGGGTCGAAGAAACAACATGTCCGTCAAATTTGAACACGAGAAGTGTAAGCTTGAGCACATGCTAACGCTAATGATAGTTTTTAATTTTTTTTTTTTACCGTTACTGCGCTTTTGTAATGCTAACGTTAGTTAGCTAGGAGCTAAGAAGCGAGAAGACAAGGAGTCCGGTCTTCAAGCAAAATGACTCACAATATGGATACTTCATTCACATGCAAGGAAGGAGAATCGACATGGAAGTCAAAAACCGTAAGTCACACAGCCCCTGTCTGTCCGTCTGTCTGCTAGCTTTTCTCTTGCTAGCCCTGCTCACGTTAATGTCTTTGCTAAATGCTAACTTTCCTTAGCTAACGCCAGATGCCTCTGAGCTGTGATTCTCTGACAATTTACTCCTTGTTGTGCTCATTTCATAGCTATTTTTTGTTTTTATGGAGGTTACATACCTGACTTAATTGACTTAAGCATTTTAAAGTTTAGTATTTAATGGTTGTTCAGGTTTGAAGCCTTTGGAGATGGTCTTTGACTTGAGGGAGTTTCTTCATAAGCCGCAATTGAGCTGCAGACACACTGATGCATTTCCTTGACGCGAATGACAGGAAGCTTTATATTCTTTAATATAAGCGTTAAAAACATACAAAAACATACTCCGTCACACGGTAGAAAAAACTGTGTCCTCGTGCCTAATCAGCCCATCTAAAGTGCACCTGCTGTAAACATGACGTCATAAGAAAAGAAAGGGGGCGTCATGCCAACGTATATATCCACTTCGGTCTCTTACATATATTATGCAACTAGTCAATCTAGAACAATGGCTGGCTCCTAGGATTTAAATATGTCAACCCTTACCGCCATTGACATCAATACTGCATTTAACTCTGGGATATAGACAAAATACCAAGTGCACGATCTGACTAAAAGTTGTTCCAAATAATGCACATGATTCATGTCTTTGGATGGATGGACCTCTCCCGTGAAGTCAGCACTCGCTTTGCGTTGTTCAAGGCGATCAGCGTCAAAGTTGTAGTGAGCAGAGCAGAAAAACAAGATTAAAAGCAACTCCGCATGTGTTGGATTCTGCTGTTTGGTATTGGTGCTGTATTTTTCTTTTTCTTTTTCCAGTGAAGGCAGAGATTGAAACAGGATTAAATCCTCATTTGCCGCCCCAGTTATCTTGTCTGGAAGAAAACCCATTTTCAAATAAAATAACATTTTGTCAGAGTTCTCAGAGATTATCTGATCCCAACTTGTGTGTCGGCTATGTAGCAGAGAAAGAGAAAGAACTGAACTTCATGACACGCCTCCTGCCAACGGAGCTGAGCGGTGAATCAGACACATGAGAAAGTGCAGTTGGCCAGATAACCGTGGCAATGATTCATGCATCCGCAGTCAGTTTGATTAATGAATTCCCCAATCTGCTACGGCGACTCCAGCCAGCCGGAGAACGTGCAAAGGTGCTGTTGAGTTTGGCAGAAGAAGAAGTTCGGGCCTCTGTTATGCTCAGAAGATATTCAGTTCTCCTGGTTTCCTTAAAATTCTGCTCCTTTTTTTCGTTATTCATCACAAGTTCTTCACAATCTGTGAATTCTGACATGGGCGTAGGTTCGGTATCAGAAGTGAGTGTGTGGGTGTCTGAATGCATTTGCATGCATTTCCATTAATCTAGCAAATAACATTGATGGGATGTCCGTGCTGTTAATAATAATGGTAGTATAAGCAGAAATGGGAAATGTAAATTTATGAATTATTGACCCCCGAGCCTCAATTAAAACTCCATTACTGAACTAAATTAATACAAAAATTAACAGGCGGAGGGAGAAGAAATAGAAGCCAGTTTGAACAAATGTTCGTGTCTGAATGTTTGCTCAATACAAATATGTATGCTTTATTATGCTTTATGACACACAAAGTAATCAAATCTGCTGCGTCCCAGAAGAACAGCACAACACATTCATATGGGTGATGATCAGGGTGATGATGTGAGTTAAAACATCAGCCTATAATATATTATCCAGTTAATGATGCACACACACGCCTGTTGTCTGAAGAGGTGCGTTTGTTTTTTGAGCATTGATTGTTCTTTGAGTAAGTGGAGACACATTGGTTGTTTTTCACTGATCAGAGTGGATCAGAGATTACAGCGTCTCCCCCACCATTGATTAAGAGGGGCCCCCGGCCCCCACCAAGCGCCACCCCCACCTCCCCAAGAAAGGAAAATGAAATTTTCACTCCTACAATTGTCCACTCCTCGCTGCGCACGCCAACCCTATTGAAAGCTACTTTAGTTAAACGAAAGGCCAATCTCACGTCAGCTCCTACTTACTAAAAACACTGACCTCAAACGCAGATTTCCAATCTCTGCGCAGCAGCTGCACGAGAGTTTGAACCAAATGTAGGAAAAAGGCGCACTAGACGGGATCTGGCGCGATTAAAAGGTCAGCGCATTCTTTAACGCATTGTAAAGCTGCAATATTGTATAACCTTGTCAGTCATGTCTTCTGCTTTTAGGTTTATCTTATCTTTGTCTTGGGACTACAGATGAAAAAAACTGCACTAAAGAAATGTTATTTGTTCCGTCCCGTATCAAATAAACTAATAAAATGAATATGCAACAGAGGGAGTGGGGGGCACCGAAAAGCCATGAGAACATCAGATTTGTTTGTTTTGTTATGTGTGAGAATAGCTCTCTGGCTGCGGGACTTGTTTGAAGCGTGTTTGTTGTTGTTGTTTTGTCAAGTAATCAAGCCAAGGTTTTGCATGTGTGTGTGTGTGTGTGTGTCCATGTGTGCAGAGATATGGAGCTGTGTTGATTTTTTTTAACTTGAGTGTGCGCACCGTGTTTGAGAACTCAATGTGGTTGTTGAAGATTGTTATCAAATTGTCACCCATGATTACACTGAAACTCGTCGTTGCTTCATCTATGTTCTCTCACACACACACACACACACACACACAGGATGTCGCGTCTGAACAACAGAACATACCACTGGCAGCCCAGTTAGCCCTAAAGCTATAAAGCAGGGGAGCTGAATGATGGGCCATGCAGCTATTGACAGGGACCCTCTCTAAATGTTCACATGCTCTAATTGCCTTTAGTCATGCTGCTACACGCGCCGCTGTTTAAGTTACTGTTGTAAGTTGTGAATTAATATGGAGTACGAAATATTTAAGATGCAGCTTGTGCTTAGTTACTTTTGAATGATTGTGTAATACAGCATATAATTAAAAATGTATACATCGTATCTTATTTAATGTATTTATGACCTCTGTTTTGTGCGTGTTTTTTAATTTCACATTGATTGAATGGCATTTTCTTTGAGCCTAAGCGTGCTTTTGGATTCCGCTTAACAAACTCAAACACTCACGAAAAAAACACTACATGTTTTGCATAACCACAAAGTACTTTTTTCAAGGATCCCTTTTCCATTTTTTTTAGCTAATAAAACATTTTGTGACTCATAAACACATTTAGTGTGGGAGGGTTTATTGATGCACTCTGGAATTAGTGCTGGGTTAGAAAGTATTTCTATTGTAATTTATTTCCTACAGGTTGATATACTGTGTGTGTGTGTGTGTGTGTGTGTGTGTGTGTGTGTGTGTGTTAGAGTGAGAGAGGAAGGACCATCTCGAGAGCTAAAAGGCTTTTATTGGGTTTGTTACACAATTCTGGGAAGAGAAACACAATAGCCCCGCCGTGGAGAAATGGATGTCAGGAAATATGAACGGAGGGAGAGAATGCCAGCCAAACCGACTCACCTTTCTACGTCCCAAACTGAACACGGACAATCAGTCTGGACCGTCCCCAGAGCACCTCAGATTATTTAGATTCATCCGGTATACGGTGTGCGCATTAGTCGCACAGTAGTCATCAGTTCGCAGCCACGGATCAGATGGTTACTAGCTGCTATCTCCTTCATCGCGCTTCTTTTCTAGGAACATTGACCAAATGAATCGTACCTTGTTTATTGTGAATTATTAACTGTAGGCCACTTTGTAGGAAGCGAGTGCTTTCACGGGGACAGATGCAGCTTTTACAAAGTGACTGCTGGACATTACAGTCTTTTGTGTGTGTGTGTATTTCCATAGTGCTTGTCAAGCCCAGGGACAGATATGCCTGGTTTTGTTGTGCGGTTGTTGTGTGGTCGTGTGTTACAGTCACACATCTGTCTACCAGGTACATTCATTTGTAGCTTAGGTGCAATATGATTAAGTGCCCTATCGTTACAAACTGTGTGTAATTGTATTTTTTTATTTTATTACCTGTGTGAGGAGGAAGCCGCCTCTAGATGGCGTGCCTCTCACTTTGGGCACCACTGCTTTAATGGGAGACCGTCCTACACAGGCTCAGGCTCATCTACTGGTGAATGGTCTTTTTTCCTCAGTGCAAAGAGGTTCTCACCTTCCTCCAGCAGCCCTACAGCACAATACCCTTCCGCCGCTATTGCAATGGTAGACAAAAGCTCTGGACATGTTTGTGTGTGTGTCCCTGACACAGAGAGGAAGATAAAGTCCAGCTGACGGCTATTCATCGGCAGAGACTGTGCAGCCAAACACAGAGAGTTATTTGGTGCATTTCTTAGAACGAAGGCCCTGCACAAACGTGCACCTGGACTCAGGGGCAAACTGATAGATTTGGTGGTCAAAGGTCACTTTGGCCTCAACAATATAGTGTAATCATTTCTAAGCTTATTCTGAGAATTTTACACAGAAGTCTAATAGAATAAAATGATGAGAGACGTGGAGAGAACTGAAACCACCATGAGGCAGCGATTCTAGCTCAATAAGGAGAAGGAAAAGTGTGTGTGTGTGTTTTAAAGGATTGTGTAAAAATCACAAGACTGATATTGCATTTGTAAATATCCTAATAATAATTGTTATTATGTATAATTCAATACTGTTTTTTTTTCAAGCATAATTGTTATTCTTGGTCAAAAGATTGTGAAATCGATCGTGTCAATGAAATCATTGAGACCAAAACCCACTT